CGCGCTTAATCTTCGACCTGACTTTTCACCAACTCCATAGATACCCCATTCTGCTTTGGCAGAAGTCACTGTCACATTAATTTGCTGCAAGGTGTTTCTGTGACATCTACACCAGCATAAAAACTACTGACAGCAGTGATGGGTCCAGATTACACAGCAATTAATAGGGCCTGTACTAGCCCTTGGACAGTGTATCAGTAGTTGGGCAGTGTGTTTCCATGGGAAGAACTTGTTATTATTGGAAAATCCAGCCATAATTCCTGGCTCTGATTTTTACCACCTGTGAGTTTAGGTGGTTATTGGACTCCCTGAGCTTCAGTTTCCTCATCTGTGAAAATAAGAAATATGTCTTATGTAATTGTGAAAATTACAAAGAACTAATACACAATGATTCTCAATACATTTTATGTAATCATTTCTGTAAAATTCTAAACAGCATGTATTTTTTAAAATCCATAAGAACAATTTAGCTGATGAGTTTAGTTGCTGATTTCCTTGAAAGAGGAAAGCAAAGATATTGATTTTTGTCATTCTTCATGTTTTTCTTCATTACAAATAATGATGGATGAAAGGAAACTGCTGCACTGTTTTTCTTTGGATATATTTTTCTTCATTTTTACAGTAAATTGTGCTCAGAAAAGAATCTCAGGCTGACCTGAAAAAGGAGAAGAGGTTTCATACTGAACAATAAGAACACATAAAAAAGGGAAGAAAACAAAACAAAGCAAAATAAACCACACTTGCAGCTCTGTCCCTTCCTCTTCTGTCTATTCCCAACTGCACCTTTGAGAAACTGCCCCACTGGGCATGTGCTTTGAGAGGGAGGTTAACTCCCAGCCTTGGGTAGCCCCTAGCTTCAAATTACACATTTTGGGAATCTTACTTGTTTGGAGAATAGTTTTTCCCCACTAAAAGAGCGGACTCCTTGAGAGCAGGTAGTACATCTCTTTGGTCATCCAGCTTGTACAGCACCAGGGACTTCCAATATACTTACTGAATTAAATAGAGAACTATGAGATTGAAGAATGGAAAGAAAGGAGAAAGGCTAAGTAGTTACAATCCATGTGTGACATAAGTTTGTGGCAGAAGAGGGAAAAAAGAAACCACCAAGAAGTCAAAAATATTTTTAGACTGAATGGGAAAAACTAAGTACAGACAAGGAAGATTGAGGCTCCCCACTGAGAAGCTGAAACCAAGGTTGTCCCACAACTCCATGGGAAGGTTTGGATAAGGAGGAACTTGAGCAAGAAATTTAAGTTTGAGTGTGATTATATTATTATGTTTCTTAAGAAAGCACACTGATTGTGTCATCAATACAGAGATGTCTCAACAGAAGCTTCAAATAAGGAATTTGGGGAAATGCTGAAACTGGACGTTTCAGGTTGGAGGGCATGGCAAGACGTTTCAGGTCTTGCCATGAGAAAGACTTATGTCCCCAGGGGAATGAGAGCTTAGTGCAATCAGCTCAAGAACAAACTAGGAACAAAGGGATGAGGCTGAGGTGGACCTGTTGGAGGACTGAGTGCTGACCGCGGATGGCATTTTGTGACTGAAACACAGGGGAACAGAAAGAGGAGAATCATCTCTACTGTTTCTCTAAATTTGTTTCAGATAAAAGAATGGAGTCAATGGTCCAGGGTTTCTGGGAAACTAATGCAGATTGCTTTAACACGGTACTAGTAATCAGAGTAATCAGATAGTCTGTGTCAACCACTTTCAGACTTTATTACAAACAACTATAAGAATACATATTGTGTATTTTCTGACCCAGTACACTCCCTGCACACACAAAATTTCCTTACAGAATACTCCCACTATGTGCAACCTGCTCAGGTAGGTTTTTAAAATCTCTTTTGTACTTTTTTTTTTTAACAATTTATTCATTCATGTAGAACTGGGGTACAAGCCAGAGGTGCTTCACCAGAGGTGAGAAGCTTCACCAGAGACAGAGTGGGGAGCAGAACAGGCAGATTGGCAAAGTACACTGCAGATTGGCGGGTCAGGAGAGGTCTGCTGTGTCATGCCGATCACCTACGGGGCTGGGGATCAAACTCGCCCTGAAGCGGCTGCAGCTAGCTTGCAGTGCTGTGTCCTAACCCGTTGCGCCACCAGGGAGGGCCCCTCTTTTGTACTTTTAATGTTAGTAACAACCCACTACATTGATTTTGCTCCCCATTAGTAGGTCATGACAAGAGGTGTAAAAAGCATTGGTGTATATAATGGTAACAGAGAAAACATAAGAAATTTGGAGAAAGAGTATATTTTGAAACAAATTTAAATGCTACTTAGATAAGGGTTTTTGTTTACAATCCATTACAGTATGAAACACATCTTTGTTTAATGGTGCCATGCTTTCATCAATTTAAAATTTTAGTAGAGTTAAAAGGAATATTTTAGGGAAGTAAAATACATTACTTCCCTAAAATATTCAAGTAGCATCTTTTTTGTAGCTTTGAGTGTTGGTTTGCAAGGGAAATTTAAAGCATAAACTTTGGATTCAGGAAGTGAGATAAAATGAAAAACACTTTGAGGGTTTGGAAAACAAAAGCCCTGACCTCAAATCCTTGTTCTTGTATGTATTAACTCAGATCTTTGCCAAGTTTCTTAACCAGTTTTATTTTCTTTTCTTTATCCATAAAGATGGCAGAATTTTTCCTAGTTGGTTACTGTTGTTCTTGAAGAAACTACCTTATTCATGGTACTTTACTCAGCACTAAGTGGATATGTGATAAATGACAATTGATACTATTGTCTTAGGCTGGGAGCACTGAATGTTAGACTGCTGGTAAAGTTGTTAGAACAATACCTAGCACAAAGCAATAATAAATATTAATATTTTCATCCCAGCAACTGAAGAATAGAAACACAGTTGTAATCCAAGTGCACCAAAACATACAAACCAATTACATGGCTTGTACTGAGAGCACTCTTTTTTTCAGAAGATATGTGTTGGATAACATATTGACAACACTGACAGATTGTATCCTGCTTGTATAAAGGGAAAAGTGATACATCACTGAATTAGCATTATTCTTAATTCCTCCGCTGCTGTCACCATTAAAGTCACCATGACTTTATTCATTCAATAAACCTAATCTTGTTAAATACCTAGTATTCTAGGTACTGAAGATGAAAACAGTTCCATAATTATGGTTGACATAATCAATAGCTAATTTTTATTTCCTCTCCCACCCACTCGTAGCCCATCATCATGAACCACTGAAATTAAAGTTACTCCTATGCTTTGTCTTGATTCTATTCTAACTTTGCTCAGAGTCAGAAAGAAAGCTTAAGGATGCTCTGTTGTCAATGATAATGGCTCCCTGGGCCATTTCTTGGTGATCTACTATTAGTATGAAAATAGTTGACTATATTTAAAAATTGTTATCTTTTATCCTTTGGCCTCAGGTAGCCTAAGGTAGTTCAGTGCCTGTGTACAAAACTGAGGGGCCTACAAAGATGCTTCAGGTAAAACCCCTTTTCCAAGGAGCATGTAGTTCAGTGAGAGAGATGTCACAACATTAGTTGTCCTCACTGGCGGGCTGATTCACAAGTGTGTGAGAGGAAGACGATAAAGCTCATTCTTAATTCACAAGTATCGTGATACAGTTCTTACTACTTTTCCAGATGGCTTTTGTTGTCCAAATTGGCCAACTTGACTAGTACCTACAATACAAAAGGAATATGCATAAATTGGAAAAACAGGAATTTCAAATGACCATATGTCAGATGTGTGATATTAAAAAAATAGGCTCTCCTGCTATTCTTACAGTTCGGTTTGGCTTGACAAGTGAAAGATGTTTAAAGCCCTGCAAATATATGCTATTTCAAATTAAGGCACAGGAATCTCTTGCAGTGGATTTATGATTCTGAGATAGGATGATGTTACATGGATATTGCCACTCACTAGCTATGGAGTTCACCTTTACAATCCTAAATAATTGTTGCCTTGGGCTTCTCCTATTTGGATGGTGGTTTGCCATAAGGAGATTTGGCAAAATATTTTTAAATAGAAAGTCAATAGAAAAATGTTAACATAGTGTATTGATAATGAAATGGTGACCAAGATAATGATACAGGCTGGCATAGAGAGGACTTGAAGTCTCTGAACCAATATACATGAAGAAATTGGTCACTGAATATATAACACAACTTGCCAGGATGAGGAAATAGGAATCTGAACTCAGAGAGATGGGCTAAGATGTTCATGTTGTAACCGTGTTGCTATATAGCTTTTCAGTCTATGGGCTCCTGTCGCAGTAATACATAGACTCGGATATATTCTGATGGTGGTTTCAGACCACTGCAATAAAGCAATTATTGCCATAAGCAAGTCACAGGAATGTTTTTGTTTTCCCAGTGAATATAATAATTATGTTTATATGATACTATTTTCTGTTATGTTGTAATTAGTTTGAAATATTGTGAGAATTACTAAAACGTGGCACGGAGACAAAGTGAACTATTGGAAAACAGCACTGCAGACTCGCTCAATGCAGGGTTGCCACAGCTCTGTAGAAAAACAAGCACAAAAATACTACAAAGCACAATCAAACAAGGTTTACCTGTATTTGTGTCATCAGTGGGCCGTGATATGGGCTCATCCTCTACAAAGACTGAAAATGTTATTGGTTATAAAATCACTTTGGGACAAAAATGTAAATTTTTATCACTTGCTGACTCAGTTTGCTAAAACTCCTTGGATTTCTATTATAGAACCAGACAGGCATAATGCAAGCATCAGTAGACCAGCTTCAGTTTTAATCTGTGGTCTTCAGTAAATCTGTACATATCATTTGACTGCATCTGTAGCCATGCAGTGAAGCCACAGCCGGGGGTGCAGTAGGAAAGCAGAGCGCTTCACAGCAATCTGAAGTCCCTTGTACCTCCTTGCCATGATGTTATTTGTGAGTTTCATTGATGAATGTCCTAAAATAAGTGCCCTTTTGGGGTTCTTCAGGTTTTGTTTTGACTACAACGCGTGTGTTTTCTTTTCTAAGGATTTAACAACACTGAGAGAACATGTGACAAAGAGTTTATTATACGGAGAACAGCCACCAACAGAGTGCTGAACGTCCTCCGTCACTGGGTCTCCAAGCATGCACAGGTAACTCATTGGCCTCGTGGATGCCTTTCAAGAATTTTTTTAAATATAAACGCTTGAGCCTTTTTTTTTTTTTAAGTTTACTCAACATCATAAAATTTTATTTACCTACACCCATAAATACTCATAAAAGTATATATAATAGATTTCAGATATATAAATTAGAAAGTCTTACTTACTGTACATAAGTATTTACTTAAGAAAGTACAATAAGAACATGGCAAATCATTAGTACAATTCAAACACAAAATTTCTTCACCGATTAATGAATTTTGATATATCATGCACCCTACTACAAGCATCAATAAGTTATTTTTTCTTTTAAAGATTTATTTTTGATGATGTAAAAATAAACTTTTGTAATAATAAAAAAAATTACATTTTGTAAATAGTCTGCTGCAGTGCAGGTGTGAAATGTAAGACAAATCCTGTCCATTCCATGTGCCTACAAAGACAACCCATTGCACATGCATGCACGCTAAGCACACATACCCATGAGACACCATAAGGTGATTGCAGAGGGCTATATGAAGCTAACAAGCCATATAGTAAAAAGTCAGAACAGAAAAATATTAGTGAAAGATAACTAGTAGGGAACAATATTTGAATAAGCTGGAACTTAAAGCATGAAAGCTGACTAGGATTGGGATATGCAGAAAAGAGAATAGAAGGACATCCTCTAGAAGTATAAGAATAGACTTAAGTCATTTGGAGGCTTGCCCAGGCAATTTTTTGGGAAATAGACAACTGTCAGCAAAATTGTTTCTACTCTTGATTAGAGTGTAACAAATACCCAGAACAATAAGGAGATGTCAAAGGGCCATTCACACTGGCTAAAGGGCTTCATCCAATAAATAACATGAAATTGGGAGTATGGGAACAATCTATTAAAGACAAAGATAAAATATGTCAATGCTCTGAACAATGGAATTACTCTGGGAAGAAGAAAAAAAAAAAGCTAGCAGGTAGGAGACCAGTTAAGGGATCATACAGAAATCTCATTACAATGTAAAGATAGCCCATACTCTGGTTTCTCTTAGATCATATAAATCTTTCGCCTTTTACAATGTAAATATAGCCCAAAACAAATATAGCCCAAAAACTTGTGCAAACAAAGCATTGTAGGAGAAACACTGCAAGTATTTAACTGAAAAATTGCAGCAAAGCATCCAAATTTTCCAAGTTATGAACCTTGAAAGACCATGAAAAAAGAAACACCACTAAAAGAAATAAAGTTATTGAGGAGAGGAGTCAAGGTGGAATCAGTATCAGGACAGGAATGATATAAGGGTTAAGAGGCATTACATCTGAATCTTAATGGGGCAAGTATATAAATGGGATATAGAACAGACATTTAAGAATTATCAACTTTAAAAATATAGACATATTCTATGTGAAAATAAGTATGGTGGTATATTTAAAAAAATATATTTATTTTTGCATTTAGAACTGAGGTACAAGCCAGTGGTATCTCTCACCAGAGACAGAGTGGGGAGCAGAACAGGCAGATCAATGAAGTACACTGCTGAGGGGAGCAGCAGACAGGTCAGGAGAGTTCTGCCAGCCATGTGGGTCACCTTCAAGCTGTGGCCAGCTTGCAGTGCTGTATCCAAACCTGTTGCACCACCCAGGGAAGGCCCTCAAGAATTTTTTTTAAATCAACTTTTTTGTTGTTAATTGTATTTCAAATGATGTTTATTGAGACAAATTAGGTTATATACTATCTTTGGAGATTATAGGTTTATACCTTTACAAATGTGTATTTTTACATGGTGGAGAAAAGTCAACTTTTTAAGTCATTACACATATAAATCACCTCCTGATTCTTTGGTATTAGAGCTTGAAGCCTTGAAATTGGAGCATAAAAAGGGAAAAAATAGTAGTGCATGTATGCAAATCAAAGTAAACACATAGGTATTGCCAACATGCACTGTTTCAAATCTACAAATGACATAATACAGGGGGTGAATCAGGATCCTCCCCTTTCCTCATCTTCCAAGGCAGCAGCACCCACCTTCAGCCACAGCATCCATAATAGAACTGTGCTACCCACGAGCACCTTTTCCAGGATCCTGCCTGTAAGTGCCATGTCACCAGTTCTAGGAGTGTCCCCTAGCGGTGAGCAGCTGGTGGCCCTGGAGGTGACCAGCACTCTGTTCTCAGACATTCTGGTAACTGGTCAAGGAGTATTTTCTCTGCTTCACTAGATATTTACCTTTGAAAATTCTGCTTTTTTATTTTAAATTGTGTCTCAGATAGGATACCTGTATGTTATCTGTGTGTTTTCAGTGTAAGTTTGCAGAATTTTTACCCATTTCACAATATAAAGAAGGCCCTGTTGCCTCATTGCTTTGAAGCATGAGTGTGTTCTTCTCACCTACTACAGGTAATAGGCAGGTTACTGGACTTGTGCCTGGCTAGCACCTTGTAGGGAGAGTTTTAGAGAGACACAAGGGGGCTCCTGCGTGGCCAGATCAGATGTGAAATATGAAATGTGAGTTAGCTAATGAGTAGAGAGAAAGGCAAGGTTATTTGGGTTTCACTTCATTACATCCTCAGAAGTCAGCATGGACTTCCACAATGCTTTTGGTAAATACAGTCTATCAGATAGACTCACATGCACCAGGCCCTTGAAATCCCTGTAAGAACAAAATTCACTAATTGGAAATGGTGGAATTTGGGTTGGACCACTAGTAAGCTCAAAAGAAATCTTAAATATTAATTTTAATGGAACAGTAAATATAGCACATTAAATACAGGACATAAACTTTTTATCTTACACATCTTAAATAAAAATGGATCTTATATGACTCAGGTTCTGAGAAATATCCTTAATGTATTAGAAATGTCTAGTCCCTCTTCTTTATGTGCTCAGTGAACTGCTTGTAAATCTATTGCCCTTTGAAAATAAAACATGATAATGAGATTTCTCCCATATTTGACCTTCCATTCCATTCCTCTCATATTTTGACTTGGGGCTTTGACTTCTAATTTCTGGGACCCAGCGTGGCTTTGGAGAATAACTTTGAGAGACCATGCTAAGCGGATGCTTCTCCATTCCCTCCTCCCTACCTCTCTCCCCCATCAGTTTGGTCTGTGTAAATTCATGCCCAGATTCATGTAGTCATACTATGAGCCAGAGACCTGGGTTACCTGCCCCAGTTTCCCTCACTCTTCCAAGTCTTCCCTTCAAAGCTCTCTAGCCTTTCATCTCTGTTTGCCCCACTTTCCTTTTTTCAGTATATAGTGTCCTCTTTTTCTAATGATTTCAAACAAGACTCCCTCACAACTCATTTATGAATCTTATAGTAGCTAGAAAAGTACCACAAAGCAACGTACAATATGCTGGATTATTTTATTTTTGGTAAAGAGAATTCATAGATGGGAAGAGATTGGCACCCTGGAGTCTTTCCTTGTGATAGAATAGACCTAGATATCTGCTTACAGACAGACAGTAAACCTGGCAATAATAGGTTGAACAGTACTGAACTTCCAGAATAGAAAATAGATGTATGTGAAAATAGGGTCTCTTTATTAGGACTATATTTTGGCAGCCTTTTATTTGAATCCCTAAAACACCCTGTTAGATTTTGTCCAAATAGTCCAGCCACTTTGCACTTGCTACTTCAGATGTGCTCAGACTTGGGAGAGCAGTTTCTCAGTGCCAGTTAAAGTGGCCGCTCTGGGAATCCCCACTCGTTAGACCTCCACTGGACTGGGAGCATATGTGGGTGGTCCAGAGTGCTCTGGTATTCAGTCTTTTCTCCTGACAACTATTGTGTTAAACTTAGACCCTGATGTGCCAAAGGAAGTTCTTACCACTCACTCATTTATCTTTTTTTTTTAAGATTTACCTATTTATGCATACAGAACTGGGACACAGGCCAGAGGTGCAGGGGTGGCTAGAGGCTTCACCAGAGACAGAGCGGGGAGCAGAACAGGCAGATCAATGCAGTACACTGCTGAGGGGAGCAGCGGGCAGGTCAGGAGAGGTCTGCCACGCCATGTGGTCACCTCTGGGGCAGGCAGGGATTGAACTCATGCGGAAGTGACTTTAGCTTCTTAGTGCTGTGCTTTAACCCGCTGCGCCACCAGGGAGGGCTCACTTCCTTGTATTTTTGAGGAGATCATGGTCAGCTTCAGCTGTCCTGGAGTAACCTCATCCTTGTACATCCTGTCCCCTTCCTCACCCTCCATCTGGGTAAGAGCTCAGCCCACTGGACATTTCTGCAATGCTTCTGCGTATTGGCAATTATTAGGTCATTTTTTTTCTGGCTTGAGTGTTTGGGTTTCCTTTCTTTTTGTTGCCATCCTTTTTGACTAAGACTTAGGGCTCCATGATGGGCAATGTGAACAAGTCCAGGCATGCTTGTGGTGATGGGCTGGGATATAGGAACGGAGTTGGTTTCAATTATGGTACTGGAGACCATGTTGTGTGCCTGCCCCTTCCTCTCACTGATGGCGTGTGGCTTGGGACTCTTTTTTTTTTAATTTATTTATTTATGCATACAGAATTGGGGTACAGGCCAGTTGGGGTAAGAGGATTCACTAGAGACAGAGTGAGGAGCAAAACAAGCAGTTGTACTGAAATGCACTACTGAGGGTAGTAATGAGTGAGAAAGGAGAGGTCTGCCACACCATGTGGGTCACCTCCCAGCCGGGGATCAAACTCACACTGAAGCTCCAGCTTGCAGTGCTGCGTCCTCGCCCATTGTGCCACCAGGGAGGGCCCCAGGTTGGGACTCTTAACTGCAGAGGTGTGACTGTTACCTGGACTCAATGGTCTCTACTCAGTCTGACTACTGTGGTGCCTAAAAAAAGAATAACGACTTATCTTGGGGCCTTTGTCCAAGTTTACCTAAAGGTTTTACTCTCTTGGCATATGGCATTAATAAAAATATTAAAATTCAGAATTAAAAGCAAACTCGTTCCCTATAGTCTTTGTCATTTTCTTATTACTCTGTATTAGTGAGCTACCTATATAAAAGCCAATGGAAAAACAG